ATTTCCTGGGGTGCTACAGTAACCCGCCTGCTACAGTGCCATTCCCGAGCTGCTACAGTAACCGATCTGCTACAGTGGCTTTTAAATTTCTCAGTTGCTACAGTAATACTGCTACAGTAAATCTACTGTGGTATTTACTGTAGCATGAACAGTGACTCTTGTTTCTCCCATTTGTATAAAAGAATAGATATGGTGAAATATAACTTAAATCTTCAAATGTAAAGATTCTCTTTTTATTGCATTATGATGGATATTCATATGTCATATTATATCATTTGCATTTGTTACATAATTAATTACAAGTTTTTATGCTAGAATGCACTTGTAAGTTTTTAAAGCACATGATGAATCAATGTCCTGGAAAATCAAATCAAGAGGTATATCTTATATCTTCTATCTATATGATGAATAAAAGTTCAAAATCACTAAAGTTATATTGAAATTAGTCCATCAAATAATTAAAATTGCTATCAGGTCCCTTTATCTTTATAAGTTATTTCAAATCAATCCCTCCTCTTGCTACCTGTACTCTTTCCTGGAAAGATTCATTTGAAAAATGACTTAAACAAGAAGGGGACCTAATGTCAAATAAAGGACTAATTATAAAACAACTTGATAAATATATACAATGCCTACTAGGCAAAGTTGTGATTCTAGACTTTGTAAAGTCTAAAAAGAATCTTGCTAACCCTTTGACTAAGGAATTATCCAGGAATGTGGTTCTGGATTCATCGAGGGAGATGAGGTTAAGCCCATAAAAGAGGTCACTAACAGTGGTAACCCAACCTTTATTTGGAGACTTAGTCCCAATGTTGGTTCAATATGGTAGAAACAAGCTGGACTAGTGACACTCGTGTGGAGCATCGACCCAGATATATTCATATATCACTATGTAGCTTGTGCTACTACCCCTTCTCTATGATGACGATGCTCTTATGATACAGCTGGCTAGGCTGAGTTTTACTCTTAATAAGTCCAACGTGTGTATTATGGGGGGTATTAAATAAACAGCTGTAGTATCTTTTGAGGACTTACCTACGTGAGAGAAACCGTGATGGCCGCGGTTGGGGTGGGGGTGGGGGGGCTAACCCTTAGAAACTCTCATGAGTCGGTTATTGTGAGCATAGCCTTTAACGCTCAACCCGTTTTGCTCAATAGATGAAGACGCATTGTGTGTGTTTTTGTCAATACCTGATTCAAGGAGCCTAATTCAAGGCCTAGTCCGTTATGTCTCTCAGGTGGCTATAAATTCACTAAGGAAATGTTCAAAGCCGGAAGCTACCTCTCTTGAATTCACGATACGAAAGGTTGCACAACCTATATTTGTTTTATGATTTCTTGATTTATTTATTGGTTTTGAGTTTTCAGTCAATATTGCCTTTTTTTTGAGGGGGGGGGGGGGTTGGTTATTTATTGAGAAAAGACAATTTTACCTTTGTGTTTTAGTCCCACATCAGAAATTGAAAAGAATTCTCTCTCCCTCAACCCTATAAATACACACCCCTTATTCACATTCCAAAATACAAGGAAAAAAAAAAGCTTTTCTCCTCCCCTTTGGTTTAAAGAAATTGTTTTTTCCTTCTATAATTTTTGTTATTAATTTTATGGGCAATCTTTTTCATCTGAGCTTAAGCTCTGTACTTTCGCCCGAGTACGGAGGCCGGCCGTTTTCGGGGGCTTTTACCGCTAGGGGGAGGGAACCATTTGCGTCAGGACGATAGGCGGGTTCTCAAACTTATAGGACAGCGATTACACGACTATTTCCTGTCAGGCTTGATTTTTCTAACTTATATTATTTATCTTTAGATTTAATTCAGATTTAATTTACATGCTATAACTTTGTTTTTATAAATTTCTAACAGAAAATAAGAAATCAAAATATAATGATGAAATAAAATAACTTTCTCCTGCTTATAGAACTGACCATATTTTCTGATGTAAGTCATTTTATTTTAATTTCTAGTTCATTATATCTAAATAAATAAATAAATGTTAAACTTGTGCCAGATGTCAACTAATGATTGCTTCATTTTGTTTTTTTACTATAAAAAGAGGCCATCATGCGCTTTGGTTCACCTGTTTTTTTGTTTCTTCGTAATATTTGTGAGGACAATTTTGCCCCACTTAAACGAACCTTTATGTTTCAAAACACACAAATGGTGCCCAAAAAAGTAAAAATAAAAAATAAAAAATAAAAAATAAAAAAAATAAATGACGCTTGGTTCCACCATCCATGATTATGTGTCCTCTTTGTTCCCCTCAATTGCATCATCGTTGGGTTTGGTTAAAATAAAGGGTTATTTAGAAATTTGTCACTTATCTTCAATAATTCTATATTAGTTCCTCAAATCTTTGAAATTACTCCTTAGTCCCTAATATCATCTAAGTTGCTTGCAATTTGGTCTCTAGATGTCCAAAATAAGATTTCAAAATATACTGACGAAATAAAATAACCTTATCATTCTTACAAATCTGACTGTATTTTCTGATGTCACTCATTGCATACTAATTTTTAGTCCATTGCATCTAAATAAATAAATAAATGTTAAACTTCTGCCGGATCTCAACTAACCACTACTTCACTTTATTTTTTCGTACATATATTTTTATTTGCAGTGGAAACACTTGTACAAAAATAAGGTTACACCTTGACAATAAATCATCTCTACCTTATGTGTTACCGCAAATCACTCTATAGCTTTCCTAGCAATTCAAAATGTTGTATCCATGTTATCCTGCTAAAATGCTATTGTTTTTAGTTTCTAAAATGGACTTTATTTTTTCTCTGAATATAGTATTGTTTTACGACTAAAATAAATTCCCCATGAGGTCATTTATATTTTGACAAGGCTTACTAATAGCAATCGATTCTGTTTCTAACAATTTACTTCTCTCTTCTGGATCAACGCGAGGAGGAATTATTTTAATGACAACATTCTTTAATTAGATTCTGTTACATCTTCTTTTGCCATTTGTATTGTAATACATTGGTCATGTAGATAGATTACTACTTTAGAATACTGTAATGTAAAGTCGTTACTTTCGAATCTCTTTTTTTATGCGCTTATTTCTGCCCATAAACTTCTCTACATATAGTCTCAATAGATATTTTCGTATATATAGCATCTGTACGTTTAAATTCTGTTTATATAAGATTTTCCGTGAATATAAGATCTGCACATTGCATAAACACTAAAAAAAAAGAAAAGAAAATGGAGCTGGCACGAGCCTTGCGCGTGCCCGTTGTACTAGTATCTCTGACGGTCAGTCTCTCACATTACGAGATCACGTGCAGCGTGCGTGAGATTCACCCTAAATTTCCAATCGCCACACAGTCGGGGGACGAGGTTGCTGATGCTGAGAGATCTACGAGCGTATCTGATAAAAGATAAATAGGGGCATTTTCGTCAAAACATGTCGTCGTTTAAATAGCAGAATTTTACCCCCAAGAGAAAAACACCGGCTAAAATCATGTAGATCAAGAGGCGGAGGAGAACCCTTCAGTAATTGATTTCTACGGACCAAAGATCTCTTTCAGAAATTGGTGATCGATGATTTTGAAAGTCTTGATCTTATCCTGTGGAGATTCATAAAGAAAATTTTGGAAGAAGGCAAGTTGTAGATCTATTTATATTCGAAGATTGATTTTTTATTATTTTTATTTCTATATTTTTAATATTTGTTGTGCTGCGATCAAGGTTGAAATCTATTGTTGTTTTGTTCATTTGCTTATTGAATCTCACTTTGAATATCTTGTTCAAGCATGAACTTTGTGATCTGCCTAATTTCTAGTTTTTGAAGTTTACGGTAATGATAAAATTCTTGGTTTGTATGGCTTCATAGTTCATGGGAATCGTTTTATTTTCAAAATATTCAAGAAAGAGGGGAGAGATTTCGTGGTCCATTTTCAATTTTTACCAGGATTAATTTTGAGGTGCGAGTGTAGCATTATCTACATTTTATTAGTCCTTGCCATCAACTAAAATTATTGTCTATATTATGAATATAGGTACTCTTTTTAGTAGGCGATAGAAGAGTAATTATCGAACCAATTATGAGTTGAATGTGAAATTTAGCATATGATGCCAATAATTAGAGATTGTAGATATCTGCAATTCTTTAGAGCAAAATTATGAGTTCTAATTTTTAGATTTTTCATAGGAGATTCATTGAATATATATATTTTGGAATATATATGAAATCAGAAATTTGCATAACATATATCAAAAATCATTTTTGTAGGTTGTTAAAGTAAGAGAGAGAGAGAGAATCTTGGGTAAATTTCCCTTGAATTGAATATTGAGTGTGCACATATATTTATACAAGTAGAGGAGTGTGAGGTTTGTTCTCCCAAGCAATGTGGGACTAAAACCCACTACAATACACTATTATCAACAGCCCCCTTCAAACTCATGTTGGATCAAACAAAGTGAGTTTGCGTACAAGAAACTGGAACCGATGAACAGGTAAGGCCTTTGTGAAGAAATCTGCAAGCTCGTCAGCGGATGAAACATGAGGAAGTAGAATTGTCTTGTCCTTGATAACTTGGTGACGGACAAAATGAGCGTCGATCTCAATATGTTTGGTCCTTTCATGAAATACTGGATTATTAGCAATCTGGATGGCACTCTTATTATCACAGTAGAGAGGAGTAGGAGTCGTAACAGAAATACCGAAATCACTGAGAAGGCGACGAAGATGAATAATCTCTTTAGCTGTTGTGGACATTGCACGATACTCTGCCTCAGTACTGGAAAGAGCAATAACATCTTGTTTCTTACTTCGCCAGGAAATAAGGGAATCACCAAGAAATATACAATAACCTGTGGTAGACTTTCTGGTAGTTGGATCACCAGCCCAATCAGCATCAGAATATGCACAAAGCTCTAACTTAGATGTAGCAGGAAACAAAAGTGAGCGAGTGCTAGTACCCCGGAGGTACCGAAGAATCCGTAATAAGACAGCATAGTGTACAGAACGTGGGGCACTAACAAATCGGAATGGAGTTCTCTACTCATGAGGAAGCTTATAATTTCTACAATGCATACGCCAGACTTAAGGGATTTGGTGTTCGCAAGGGTCACACAGCTTGGTCGAGAAAGAAAGATGCAATCCTATCTAGAATATTTGTATGTGACAAAGAAGGCTTTAAATCTTTAAAAGATAAAAGAGAAGATGGTCGGAATGTAATTCGAAAGTTCGATACAAGATGTGGATGCAACGCAAGGATGGTTATTGGACTTGATAGAAGCACTGAAAAATGGGTGGTCCGAAAGTTAAACAGTAAGCATAATGGTCATCCATTAACCACCCCAACTCGGGTAAAGAAGCACTACTCACATCGGACACTTCATCGAGCTCAATCGACAAAAAGGTTGATAGATACTCTTGACAATCAAGGTTTACGGCCTTCTGCCATTTGTAAGGTTGTAGACGTTGCTCATGGCAATGAACAAGGCTCTCTCACTCAACAAGAATGCCAAGCACAACTTAGACTTAAACGAAGAAACAACGTCGGCCATGAGTGCGTGAACATAGTTCGTCAATTTCAAGAGAAAAAGGTATCTGATCCTCAATTTTACTTCGCACTTGATTTAGAAAATGATGGGACGATGAGAAGTGTTTTTTGGATGGATGGTAGGTCGAGGACTTCTTACTTGCAATTTGGAGATGTTGTTTGCTTTGATGTTACATATAGAACGAACAATTTAAAATTGCCGTTTGCACCATTTACGGGCGTTAACCATCATCGACAGTCTACTCTATTTGGGTGTGCGTTACTGGCCGATGAAACGGAGGAGACGTTTATATGGTTATTTAGCCAATGGTTAAAATGTATGTCGGGTATAGCACCAGTAACAATCATCACTGATCAAGATAAAGCTATGTGTGGTGCTATTCACAAAGTTTTTCCTAAAACTCGCCATCGCTTTTGTTCTTGGCACCTTCGTAGGAATGCCTTACAAAATCTTCAATCAATGCATAATGATTATGGTGAGGATGTTGGTGTAAAGTATAACAAATGGTATTGGAGTAAATCGGAAGAAAAATTTGAAAAGCGTTGGGAAGAAATGAGGGACAAATATGGTGCAGATAAAAGGAGTTGGTTAGTAAATTTATACAATCATCGAGATCATTGGGCTCCAGTGTATCTTAAAGACACTTTTACTGCAGGAATGACATCTACTCAGCGGAGTGAGGGAATTAATGCTTTTTTTGATCATTTTGTGAATGTAAATACCGAGTTACATGATTTTGTTAAGCAGTATGATAATGCTGTCAGAGCTCGCCGAGCCGCTGAACTTGAGCAAGATTTTAAGTCCACAAACTCAGTTCCTACATTGATAATTGAACATCCCATTGAAAAACAAGCTCGGGAGAATTATACGAAGAATCTGTTTACTATCTTTCAGAAAGAACTCAAGGATAGTTACTCCATGCTTCATGAAAAGTTGTCGAAGGACGGCGCAAGTGCTACTTATGCCGTTTGGAATATAGATAGCGAGGCTGAAAGCAAGAAGATAGTAAAGCATCATGTTGTTTTCGATACATCCAAAGAAAAAAGAATTAAGTGCTCTTGTGCGAGATTTGAGATGGAAGGTATATTATGCAAACATAGCTTGCACATTTTAGTAAAGAAGCAAGTATTAGAAATTCCATCAAGATATATCATGCAACGATGGACAATTAAAGCAAGACATGTTGGTTGCGGAGTTGTTAGAAATTGCATTACAAATAGTGAAGACCAACTATCTATCATTAAACATTGGGCCCTTAGGAGTAGATGTAACAAGGCACTAGAAGATACATTGACTTCAAGTACACTTCATGATAAGTTTAGTGCTTTTTTAGACTCATTTTTTGAAGAAGTTGAGAATTCCAAGATTGAGAAGGAACATAACGACAATGGAAATGAGAGCAATGCCAGCAATAAGATGCCTACTTCATCCATACCCATCTCTATAGAGGAAGCAACTCAAATCACTATTCGTGATCCAGATAAGCCTGTTGCCACGAAGGGACGACCAGCACATGCTACTAGAATTAAGTCGGGAGTGGAGATAGCACAAGAAAAGAGTATAAAAAAACAAAGATTTTGTGGGTTTTGTAAGGGAAAAGGACATTATATAACGAGTTGTCCTTTAGCTAAGGTATTATACTTAATCTTGATTTAATATTTTTTCAATGTCTTTGCATTTGTCATGATAAAGTTGCAATTTTTTTTGTAGAACAAAAATGTTGCTCGTGGAGGTCGAGAAAGTTAACGGCATCGCCAAAACAAAGTTTACGGAGGGCCAAAACAAAGCATGTGTTTCGGTTGAATGTTCACAATTTGATTTATTCACTTTTCCCTTAAGATTTATGTATGTATGGATGATAATGTGGTTGTATGGATTAATCATGTATGGATGATAATTTGAATTAATTTTTTCCCCCAGAACAATGAGGAACAAAACAGTATTAAGTGGGTACAAAACGAGCAATTAGTGGGTACTAAACTTGAATAAGTGGGTACAAAAATAAAATCATGGCATTATTAGGTACAAAGCTTGATTAAGTGGGTACAAAGCTTGATTAAGTGGGTACAATATTTGAATCCAGAGCAAAGAGGTATAAAAGGGTGCCTAAGTAGGTACAAAACGTGTATAAATGGGTACAAAACTTGAATAAGTGGGTACAAAATTTGCAGCAGAATAATGAGGTACAAAACATGGTTAAGTGGGTACAAAACTTGAATAAATGGGTACCAAACTTGATTAAGTGGGTACAAAACTTGATTAAGTGTGTACAAAAGTTTTTACAAGTAGGTACAAGGCTTGATTAATTGGGTACAAAACGTGTATAAATGGGTACAAAACTTGAAAAAGTGTGTACAAAATTTTGATTCCAGTATAATGAGGTACAAAACATGGTTAAGTGGGTACAAAACTTGAATAAATGGGTACCAAACTTGATTAAGTGGGTACCAAACTTGATTAAGTGGGTATAAAAGTTTTTACAAGTAGGTACAAGGCTTGATTAAGTGGGTACAATATTTAAGCAACGTAATAGAACTAACTCTGTATGTTCTAGAACTAACAAGAGGACAGCTAGAACTAACAAGGAGTGAGCTAGGGATATCATGACATAACAGAACAAACACTTGGGCTAGAAATAACGCCAGCACGAAGTAGAACTAACAGGAGATGGGCTTGAACTAACAGGAGGGCATCTAGAACTAACTAGGAGTGAGCTAGGGATAACATGGCCATCTCGAGTACAAACACTTGTGCTAAAAATAACGTGGCACGAAGTAGAACTAACTCGAGATGTGCTTGAACTAACAGGAAGACATATAGAACTAACAATGACTGAGATAGGCCTAACATGGGCCACAGAACAAACACTTGTGCTAGAAATAACGCCAACTTGAAGTAGAACTAACTCGAGATGTTCCAGAACTAACAGTAGGACAACTAGAACTAACTCGATAGGGGATAGAACTAACAGGTGGACAACAAGAATAGAATTAACTCGAGATGTTCTAGAACTAACAGTAGGACAACTAGAACTAACTCGATAGGGGATAGAACAAACAAGTGGACAGCTAGAACTAACACTTACTCTGCTAGGGATAACATGGCCCACCAGAACAAACACGAGATCGCATGTTAGCTCTAATCGATTTCATGTCAGTTCTAACCGTTGTGAATTCTATTACAGCTCTATGCGAGGTCAAATTTGTTAGGTCCAAATGATATCTTGTTAGTTCTAACCTATTTGTAGTCAATACTATTTAACATGGGCCACAGAACAAACACTTGTGCGTTATTTGTAGTCAATACTATTTAACATGGGCCACAGAACAAACACTTGTGCTAGAAATAACGCCAACTTGAAGTAGAACTAACTCGATATGTTCTAGAACTAACAGTAGGACAACTAGAACTAACTCGATTTGTCAAATTTTATTTATCATTCTCACCATTGGAATATAATACTCTTAAGCTTTTAATATAAAGCTGTTGAATTGGATTATTAACACTTTGAAATATATATCTTTGCTTGTCATGCTTTCATTGCTATCATGTTTGATTTCAGATACCTATTGCTTGTGATTCCTCTTGTTCTCACTTTGGGAGTTTCTGGCATATGCAAAGTGCAGTTTGTGTTGCTGGTTTAATCACAGAAGTTTTTGTTACCTTATATGCATGGGGGATTTGCTGCATCATTTTCATCTCAATCTGTTCAGATTTGTATTTGAACCCAGACTTTACACAAGAGTCCCTGCATTCTTCTCAAACTTTTGCATTACATTTTCAAACAGCAGATTACAATATTTATGACAACAAGGGAAATACTAAATATTCCTAAAACAACAATACATTTCTTCAGGTAAACAAAGACTTTACACAAGAGTCCCTGCATTCTTCTCAAACTTTTGCATTACATTTTCAAACAGCAGATTACAATATTTATGACAACAAGGGAAATACTAAATATTCCTAAAACAACAATACATTTCTTCAGGTAAACAACTTGTTGGTTTGCAAGCTTTAATTCTCTTCGCAAATGCTTGGTTTCCACATCTTTAACTTGGGAAACTGATTGAGGAGAGGGACATTCAAAATTTACCTTACGCCATCTTTAACTTGGGAAACTGATTGAGGAGAGGGACATTCAAAATTTACCTTACGCTGGTTGTTATCATGATGCTCTTCTGCCCACCTGAAATACTGGCATTGCCTATTTGGATAGTTGGCGCAGCCCCAAAAGTATTTGCCCTTGTTTACTCCTGATCTGCAAAGCTTTAGTGGTGTCGGTATGTTACAGTAGCACGTTACCTCTGCAGCTAATTCATGAGAGTCTTGGCTTGTTTCCATGTCGCAGCTTTAATTGCCTCTATGCTCAAGTATTTTTGCCCAGCTTTCTTGCAATTTTATGAGAGAATATGTTGAGGAGGATGGAGTTGATCCCAACTATATAAGTGCAGGGGTGGGGTAAATTGTTTCCGTTGGCAAAATCTTGTTGTTTTGAGTTATGGTTTTTTAACCGTTGCACAATTTTTACCGTTGCTGGTTTTAGTTGGTTTTTTGGGGAGGCAAGCTCACCGCTTGAACAGGAGTGTGAGGTTTGTTCTCCCAAGCAATGTGGGACTAAAACCCACTACAATACACTATTATCAACATAGGTATTGTTGGAATCATGAAATACTGTAACTTGACAGGATCTCTATTTTTAGCTTGTTGAATGAAACCTGTGGGATACTGTTTCAGGAATATCTCTAGAGTGAATGCAAAGAGGAAAGTTTTATTAGCCTTGCGTTAACTTCGTATTCCAAAGTTCATCCTTTTGCGTGTACTAAATCCTTTGGTACAGTGTAGCTATGTTGTCAATAAGACAAGGAGAGAGAAGTAATGTTGGTTTCGCTTTGGAGTACAGAATTCTCTGTTCTTTTAGACTTTGTCTCGAGCATGTGTGCAGTCTTTCTTCTCTGTGAACAGGAGCAGCAAAGCTTGGTGGATCCATGGACTTCAGATGGCATTAGTAGAGCAGTAGCGGAATAAATGGTATAATTATGGTGAACCTAAAATGATGCTTCGCTTGAGATTTGGCTCTTGGTAGCAGGACTTTGTAGGTTTATGCCATATCTGAGAGTTTTACGTGTTATTAGCTTTTACAAGTTACTAAAATCACTGCTTTTGACTTACAGTGGGAAAAGTCTTGGGAATTAATTTCAGGACTAAGGAAAGAGAAAGTAAATCTATAGATTATTTTGGTAAGGTTTTAAGCTGAATTCTATCCAAGTCACAGGAAAATTTATCACGATCTTTTAATATGTTCACCACCTGATTGGGATAAAATTTTAAGTTCACTACCAAAAATAGATGCTCCATCGTCTCCAAGAAGTATGGGTGGACCCATGGAACTACTATGTGAGGTTTGGCTAACTTTATGATAATATGTCGTCCTCAGTCCTGACACTAAAGCTTTGAATGACTCCATGGTCCTGGCAAAAGTATTTATGGATGAGTGCAGTGCTTAGAATGACAGTTGAATGTAAGGAATTGTCACACTGTTTATCAAGATGTTGTATGAAAGGAAGGAGCTCCCAAAGTTCTCCTTTGCTACTGTAAATATTATTTTTTTCCTATTTGACAACTCCCCTTATGCAAGTTATGCTGTAAGTTTAAAATTCCTCCTTGGGAATTGGGATGATTTCTATCTATTAGTTTTGAAGTCATTTCTTATTTATTGACATAAAGAAAATAGTTGTCATGGTGATGATGGACTACCATTCTTAGAGGTTAGCACTATAGTGTGGATTCTAATCAAACACGGAAAAGACGTTCTATCTTTTGATGTAAAATCTTAAATGGAAAGTCCAATTGAATGCTCTTCAAAATCAAAGCTCTTGCTCCGCATCTGAATACATCCTTCTAGGTCATTTGCATTCTTGAATTGTGTGTATAAGGAAATAATTAGTAATCTCTAATCAAAGTTAGGTGCTTTAAGTATAAGTTGGTTTCATAGTGTATTCACTTGCGTTGACAATGGTTCTAGTTTACTTGCAAGGTTAAGGTCGTGAGCAACACCTCTGCTCCCCTTATGCAAGTTATGCTGTAAGTTTAAAATTCCTCCTTGGGAATTGGGATGATTTCTATCTATTAGTTTTGAAGTCATTTCTTATTTATTGACATAAAGAAAATAGTTGTCATAGTGATGATGGACTACCATTCTTAGAGGTTAGCACTATAGTGTGGATTCTAATCAAACACGGAAAAGACGTTCTACAGGATACAAAGTAGATGAGGGAAGGGAGTGCCAAATTAAAATTTTTGGGGTTTTGGAAGAATGGGTGTCAGCGACTACCTTTTACTTACGTTGAAGCTTGTAAAAATTTTACGAGGATGTTTTGCATTGGGGGATATTGAGTCAGGAAAGAGTTTTGCATTGGGGGATATTGAGTCAGGAAAGAAAATGCGAATTAGAAATTTTGTATGGCTCCTTCTAGATTTTCTGTTGGCTGTGGCACTAGAGTTGCCTTAGACGAGGATATAGTTTATTATAGCTTAACATGTTAATGCAAACTTAATTCCTATAGCTCATAGTCAGTGGCGGATCTAAGATTTCTAGAAAGGGGTGTCACCACACAATTAATAATTACCCATAAAATATTACAACTGTCCTGAGTTTTCACATTTGAAAACGCATAATAGCATCATTACTGACACTACCAAATACATAATCACGCTTTAGTAAATTCAACACACCACGTATATATTAGAAAATAAATTTGAAGCCAACTTATGTTAAAATAGACGACTTCTATCTCATCCGGATAGTATTTAAGTCCCACCAATTTTAGACTTTTCTCCATCTTTGGGGAAATACGTATAACATAACAAGTGTTGTTTTCTAATAAACATTGTGTAGCACGCAAAATAATTTCTTTTACTGAAAATTAAAATCATACCAATCTTATTGAGGAAAAAACACTTACATTGATTATGTTAGCACTTGAACCAGTGATGTTTTATGCCATGGAAAGTCGTGATTAGATACATATGCATTCTTTACGTGAAAAGAATAATTTTCCCTTGGAGGAAATGGTGTCACGTAACTTTCTGGTAGTATGGCATTTTATTTTCTAACTAAAAGGGTTTAATACTCCTTGAGAAATAATTATAAATTTTGGTTTCCAAAAGATAAATTTATTTAATTATGAGCAAATACTGAAATGGAAATGCCTTATTTGTCAGAAAATGTTAATTCATACATTCATTTGATATTTTGATGGTATATCATTTATCCATGTGATGAATATCTTGAAGTTTATACTATTGACTACCAACTTTTATTCTGATGAATATAAGCAATACATAGGCTCAAGTGAAGGAACCTTCGGCTTTGCCTTTGTATTTATCAATTTAAGCTCAAGCACTTTTGAGTAAATTTGGATTATATATCATACCAGAAAAGCTTTTGGATGAAGAAGTAGAAGGCTGATTAGAGGGAGAAGTTGGAACAATCTCTCCATATTGGGACAGGTTTCACATGCTTCTTGTCCCTCCCAAAGAAGCTTCTGGTGCTGGGATATGCCAAAAATATATTACACCTGTAAAGCTACAGGCCTCCAAATTTAATTTTGTACCGGATTCATGCACTCTGTTGTCAGACCATTTATTATGTTTCTCTACCAGTTACTGCCTAGGGCTGAGTGAAATATATCCTATTGTATATATCTTTCCTGAACTTATTGAGACATTGAAGAAATAGATGGAAAGGACACGAACTTCATCTTTTAAAAGAAGCCTCTAAATGTATGTCTATTAAAGCATAGAGGTCAGTTGTATGTTAAAAACAACCTTCACCTTTTGAATCAAGGTTTTAATCAAAGAAGTGGTTAACAGGCATGCGTTTATAAATTTTCACAGAAAGGAGTTAAACTAGGTATGCTACTTCGTTTTATGCTTCTTTTTATGAGATTATTAAGATTAGACATTACGGTGGGTGTCTTCTTTTGGTTCACTTTTGATATGTCAAATGTCTGTACGATCTCTTATTACTTGTTATATATTCCTAGAATGTTAGATGTGAAGGATTATCGATTAAAGGGAGAAGTGGAGAGCATTCATTAAACTAGGGATGTGTTTTTACTTTTTACTAGCTTTCCGTAAAAGGAAAGTTGAATCGGGGCTACTATTTCCTTTTTTAATATTTCTTATCTGTGAGGTCCTAAATTATGATGGGAAGATTTTGGTTTTCATTGCTTAACTTCTTGTGTTGCATATTTGCAGGTTTTAAATGTCTATGTAATCTCTAAAATGTTACTGTGCATTTAGTATTAGTTTTCTCGGGTAAAGGAGAGAAGTTTCTAAATTTATGAAGTGCATTAGAAATTTTTCTTAGAGGGGAAGCTGACTAGGTCTACTATTTCCTTCTATATTTCACAGTTCATGTCATTAAATTTTTTCTCTTCTTGAAGTTTTAAACTAATATATGTTTTTTGACTCAGTGTTCATACATTAGAAACAATAAATAGTGGAAGCTGTCTGGGAATCTTGAATGAAAAAGATTAGCTAAGTTAAAGCTGAACCCAAAAAATTGGTTTTGTTGGGTTACTTCTGGCCAAACTTTATATTTTGTACTGTGATCTTCATGGTTGAATATTCATTAATGGCTTCACCATTTAATTATGGTTATCTTAGCAACAGGATTCTGCCTCTTGTAACCTTTTACTAAAATCACTACTGATCATCGGACATTCATTCTATTAGGACATCCTTTTCTAAAATGACGACCCTTCTTTTTGTATATTTCAGTTGGTAATAACTCCATAGCTGTTGACTAACGTCCATAATAACTCCATAGCTGTTGACTAACGTCCATAATTTGGAGTTAAGTTTATCCAACTGCAAAGACATAAAAACTGAGCACGGCATTGTTGAAATTCTGATGACATGTAGATTGTAAGTTTATATTATTGATAATTGCATTATCATCTTCTTATACCTTGAAGGAGTTTTCTTTGGATGTCTTGTTGAGTTTGCATTAATTATGAATTTCTAACGTAGTGCATGTGTGCTATCATCTAGTATTAATAAATTATACATATGATTCTCGGTTCCTTGAAGCTGAATATTGATATAAGTCTTTTTATGGGAATTATGCAGGAACGCAACAAGGTAATGTTAGGAGAGTATGTTACTCTTGCAAGAGATATCAGAGACTTTTTTAAGTGTTAATGGGCATGTTTTATACATGGCTGCAAACTGTCCGGTTCACCAAGTGTGCCTCATTTTGGTTACAGTCAACGGACATGTGGGACCTGTCTTGGCATTGAGGTGCATTTGATTTAAGAAATTATATTGCTCTTGCCTCCAGTTTTAACTTAACGTTTTCCTTTGCCGCATTAGTTGAGTTACCGACTTTATACTTGCCATTGGTGAATAAATAATCTAATAAGTACCCAACATATGTGACACTTTTATGAGAATAATTTTTTATTTGGTGTTATTTCTACCTTACTGAAGCGTGCAGTTGTTATTACAGGACATTATGTTGTTAGTCGCTGCTACACAAAAGGCCCTCTTTATGCTAACTTTATAATAGTCACATGAAGATTAAGTTAGTCCTTCAAGTATCTTACCTGAAGGTTTATCATGACACACTTCTTTGACTGTTAATCCCCATCAATATGTTGGAAACCCATTTTTTTGGGGTGGATATACAGTGAAAAAGGAATTTTTGATTATAGTTGAATGAGAAGACAAAACCGAAAAATTAGGATCTTTGAACTGGCTGAATAGACAAAAATTGACTATGCAGTGATAATTTATTTAGGTGGTGCTTCATAGCATTACCTTTCAATCTATCAGTCTGCCTGCTTAAGCGATGCAGCTACATACAGAGATAGTTCATTCGCGGATGAGATGGAATAAGAAGGTTTGTGATGGAAGTCATTGGTGCATAGGATTTCAATATTATTGGGAATCATTCTGTTAGAGCTAGGGCTATTGTTTTGGGTGGAGCGGGGTGGGGCTGGTCATTGGTAGTTTGGCGCCTTTCCATCAAGAACCTTGCATACTGGAACTAAGTCTTGGAAGATATAAAAGGGTTTCTGGTTGCTGGAAGTGAATTTTGTTGGCAGAGATGTATTGTATCTTGATAAAACCACAGATAGCTCCAAAAACCAGTATGTTGAAAGTGTACATGTAAAAAAAGAGAGGCAAGAACTTACCCTAGAAAGAAGAGAATCCAACTTGGTAACCGCAAGTTGCGAGCCTCATCATTAATAAATGTTGAATGACTGTTCTCTTTCTATGGTGTAATTATTACATTAAGAAGGGCCATTTGTTATTAACATTTAATTTAGAAATAGCTGAATGAAAGTAACCGAGACTCTTCAAATCAACAACAAAAAATGTAACGTTACAGATATTTTGTTATGCCCTTTATCAATCTTGTTTATGCCTCTTCTTATTTTCTCAATCAACCATTGATCATTCTCTGCTTAGCAGATAGATGGTATATAAAGGGCCAGCATATATTTATGCACTTTTTCCCAGTAATCTGTCTACTGAGCTCCAATTTTTACATGCAGTATAAGTATCATGACTATATGGAAAGTATAACATACCTATATGGCAGTCAATCATTTGTAACCTGTGTGCATATAGATGGATTGTTCAGGTTTTTCAAAACATGATTTGATGACATCTTGAAACCCTATGGTGAACATGAACATTGCCATGTAGATGTTAAAGCCAATGCCACATTAATTTCACTGAGGAATCTCCTAATTATCATCATGGTCTAATGACGTCTTGCCAATTAAAGTGAACACTTCTCTTGTTTTCGCCAAGGTTTCCAAGCTGAGATGACAAGCTTAAGATATAAGTGAAGAGAATGGTTTCCCCTTAATAGAAGTTTAGCAAATGCTTGGTGGTTTCTAGATAGTATGAACAAGCCTTTATTTCCCAATCTTTTGCCTTAATCTATTCAAACTATGGCTGTCAACAACGTACCGACACTAACGTGCTACAAAGAGAGGACAAGAAAAGGGGAGAACGGATATTAAATGCCTACATGTGCATTTAAATAGAAAATAATGGGAAACGTGGAACTTTCTGAATAAAATATTAACGACATAACTTGAAAGGGGTGTAATCATCTCAAACTACAAATTTACTTTATGACACTTTGGCCAGGACAAGAATATTCCAAGGAACCTCGATATTGTTCTCTAGAGTGGAATAGAATTTCTGAGCTTGATTGCTTCATCTCAATACTTGCAGGTGCTGTTTTAATACCCTTGTTTAGACTTTGCCCGGCATACATATCATTATTTTTGCCTGAAATATATCTACGCAAACATAAGTCAGATTCACTCCCTATAAAGGGTACTTACATTTCTGTTACTTCCTCTTATTTCGTTTCCGCTATTGAACTTTGGCAAAGACGTTTCTGTGGATGCTTGGCACCTTTGTTACGTGACTATTTCAAATAAAAAGCCTTACCCGTACCCGACACATACGCGTACCCATATCAAAACTTCTTGGATTTTGAATATATGCATATGTATATACAGGCGTATGCTCAATTATATAATGCATATTTTAATTTAAAACAATCCTCATACCTGTACCCCTACAACTTAGCTTGACACTATAGAATCGATGTCTTTTACTTAGGTTTAACTTCTATTTGGAGTTGCGCTATTTCTATTTTTTCTTTTAAATAATGTTAGAAAGCCGAAGGTTGCAGGTTATAAACGTAACTGCTACCAACTCCCACCTCCATCCTTCAACCTCTATCTCAACACACTTGCAGAGGGGGGAACCCATACCACAAATGGGGAAGAACAAGCTAAAAATAGTTGTGTTCAATAAGGATACACTCTTTATTTTGGGTAAATGAATACTTTTTTCCACTACCAAGTGAAATGATTAGGTACATAATCCGACCCAGGCGTACCCGGGGCTGTACACGCTCTATCAAAACTCTCCAAGTATCAGCTGCACATCTTCGATTTCTCATTAGCTGTACATATTATCAGGCCTCACAGCTATGACAAAAAAAAAATAATCTAAAAATACTCAATCCATAAATTATATTTTGGGGTTTGGGTGGGTGGCGCTTTGTGTACGTGTGGTGTGTGGGGTGGGGGGGGGGGTTTGGATATTCACACAACTCCCGTAGCAGTCACCTCAATTTTTACCTGCTTCACAATTTGATCAACAGTCAAAGCTCTTTCGCTGAAATCTCCTGCTGTGCTCCGCCCAGACATGGTAAACTGCAGCTGCAAACAGAGTAAATAAGACCTGCTCCTTAACTTCTATGCCTCTTCCAGCCTGACAGAACCAGAACACATCATCCTGCAATTTTGAAGGATCTCCAGTATCCCCATAACACAGTTCTTCCACATTACAGCAGCAAATAGACATTGGAAAAACAAGTGATCTACATTCTCATTTGCTTGAAGACACAAGATACAAACAGTCAACACTGTCATGGAGGAGCCCAAAATGCTGTAATCTATCCTGTGTCAAGAGCCTCCCGCATATTGCCAATCATAACACAAACTGGTGCCTTAGAATGGAAAGATTATACCAAACAAGGGAACGCCAAGGAACCTGCTGACTGCAAGCTGAGTAAATTTCTCTATAAGCAGCTGACATGCAAATTTTGCCATGCACCTCCCACTGTTCAAGTTGATTAATAGCTGCTACTTCAGAACCCCATTTAGATAGCATCCAATCCCCGACATGTAGCAGTTTCCTCCAAAACCAAGAATCCCCACTTCTATGTTGCACCTTCAAAATATTCTCAGTTTAAAGATAATGGCCATGAAGCCATTTAATCCGCAACAAATCCTCTTTCTTATGAATAGTCCACAACAGTAAATTTTATGAAATAATAAACAAGAAAAAAAGATGATAAGTTTGTTTTGCCAACGTGTTCTTTTTGTACCAACCTCTGCCTTAATGGCTCATGAATAAGGTATTTGCTAGTTTCCTTTCATAATTCAACTTTATTGACCTTTGCTGACAAAACTTACCTTGCTTATTCCTGCAACCAGATCATTCACATTAGTTGCCTGACACATATTTATATGCAACTTTCACTCTTTATCCATTGACATAGGGAGTGACTTTTTTTTACCCTGACTAAGAGAGATTTGCATCATATGAACTTTGAGTTTGTTATTTATTCATTCGCCATGGTTCAGCCTTTTTATTTTCTTGAGCAAGAGAAATTTAACTGTCATTACTTAGGGTAGCTTTTAGTTGTTTATGCATTCACCAGCATCTGAAATTTATATTTGCTCTTATAGTCAATTACATACATAATGGTTTCAACCCAATCACATATTGTCATAGTAACTCTCCCTCAGAGTCACTAGCGTAGCTCAGTTGCGGACATTATTCTTATACTGACATAATCTGCTTCAAGTTCACTTCTTAATTATCCTCCTTGATTTCACACAGTATCATATCAAATCACAAAAATAAACCTGAGAACACAGGCAAGATGCTAAGGTTTCCTTGATGTGCCAGTATGCAGCATTGTCGATTTATTAAGGCACCACTTCTAAAAGGTATGTGTATGTGTTGCTTACTCTTGTGATGAAGCTTTAACTTAATTGGTCGGACTTATATATTGTTACTTGTATACATTTGTTCCTAAAGCGATCAGATGACCCAAGTTTAATTCCTAACTTTAAGGAGCAGTATTTCGAGATTTATTTGAATGGTGATCATTCAGCAGATGTTCTTGGTTTTGGTTTTATCTGGCCCGAGTTTAATTCCTAACTTTAAGGAGCAGTATTTCAAGATTTATTTGAATGGTGATCATTCAGCAGATGTTCTTGGTTTTGGTTTTATCTGTGGGCTCTGTCAACCAATTAGTTAAATACAGTCTCACATGTGCCAATAATTTAGATTGAATCAGTTAAATGTGTGTTTTAGTAGATACATCACATTTTTATAAAAATGATGAATTAACAGTAAAAAATGTAGAGATAAATCCAAACAACAGAGACAATATAATAATATTTTTAGGAAATAGAGATAAAAGCATGAGAAGTTGAGAATAGGGTAAGGTCATTATAATTAAAAGAAGAAACCAAATGATACGAAATCTTTTGTTTAACATACAACCTCATATACACTAACTTTCCATCCTTCTTGCTAGTTTCATTAGTGCACAACTCCACCATGCTACTTTCGTTCCTATTGCCATTATCTACTCCATGTTAGAGGTCGCCTGTCCAAAATTTCAACTGCTCACACGTATGATATTTCGACCTTTTGTACGCTGCTTAGAATATTTAACCAGTCGTACAGTTTAGCTTCCTTTTTGGTGGATAAATAGACCCAGAGAAGCCATACGTTGTACTTTCTCCTAGATTATTGGCAAGAGGAACATCAGGTTCAGGAACAGGTCTCTTTGTTCCTGCAGTAGCCTTGAACTGAGAGCTGCATTCTGAAGCATGATCCTGACAACCACCAGTGCTCCCTGAGCCAGTAGAAATTAAAGGACTTTTTCCTTTATCTCGTATTGCTTGTTTTCTTGGTCTTATGCGGTGAAAAGTTCCCCACAAGCATGCATCTGGAGCTACTCCAATCACTGAAACACATTCCAGAATTGCGAGTTAGTCATTTGCATAGACATACTTATCTACATTTGTCTATACAGTTATTGAGTAGTAAAAATATTTACATGCTGATTTGATTATCAAAAGGATGGTTAAACCCCAGGGACCAACTGGAATTTTGATGAAAAATTCCCCCAGTATAGAAGTCAGAAACCTAATCCATAGGTACTGCTTTGAATCTGAATCTCCTATTAACCATAACAGTTTCATGATGAGATAGATCATTTTACTCAAATAAGGAAGTGTGGATGCTGCTTTCCTGTTATTAGAATTTTGCACGATAGGGTAGCTATGAGGTTTATAACTCGGAGCCAAAACAAATTTGCAGCACTACAGGAGGCAACACAAGCCTTTGTCTCTAAAAGAAATGAGGAGTGTCAGTTTAATCTTATCAGATAATGGTGACATGTTGGATAAAATAATAGAGGAAGAACAGAACCAAGAAATAAGATTGAAAATTGTTGTAGGTAGAGGGTCCTCCATTTGAAATTATATAGTATCTTTACTTTTTGAGTAGTTAATATCAACACACGCACATCCGACAAGGCTGTCATATGTTTTTTCAGCAAAAGACAACAAGGCTTATTGTACGAGGGAAAACGAAAACCAATAATGACTGGCCACATGAAACCCTCCCCTAGTCCCTGTACTGAATGTGCATGAGTTAGATGAGGATGTTAGAAGAATGTTTCCGGCAAGCGGCAAGATAGTAGCTTCATTATCTTCATAACCAAAGTTTTCTTTGAACTACTCCAATAAAATATAGTTATATCATAACATCTTTGATTATGTGCCCTAACCTCTTAGTTGTGATCTTTTCAATATAAGCTTCGGTGGAAAATTGATCAACTCTGAATTATTTGACCAAAAAAAGAGAGGAAACAATTATCGCACTAGAGAGGAAGGACCATTATTTATTTCATCAACTCCAAAGTATGCATGTTTCCACTAGCTTATATGGAAACGACAGCCAAGAGGTTATGATATGAAAATACCTTGTTAAAGTAGTTCAAAAGAGACATTGGTTATAAAGATAATTTTTGTTACTAGGTTGATGTAAATATTCATCTAACAAAGTAGCCACACCTCTTTTTAATGCTTAAAAATTAAGTAACCACTTAGAATAATGATGCAGATTATTTTTGTTAAAACTGCATAATGATATTAGGAATATATTGGTTGTGTTTCATCCAACTGTATATTTTCCTTATATATTCCTGTAAGAAGCTTTGCATATGTATTCCTTAAGAGCAAGAAATATCTATTGATTCTAGGAAATTTTAAGTGAGAGGAAAACAAAGCTTTATGTGGCATAAATGGCAACAACGATTTTGGTCCAATGGGAAAAAGAACAAAAATAGTTGAAAGGATTAGCTGAAATTGTGTCAGTGTGTCATTTGGAGTAAACTCACAAGAGGAAGAGAACCTTCTAATGCATAGAAGAATTGATTTTGTTATCAATGAAAACCCAAACATCTAGTGAACGCGCCAGCGCACCTGTAGCTACTTTCCGTTTGGAGGCCAGTTTTGTTTTAGAACATAGGTATTTCATACTTTTTAGCAGGATAATGCATGAATCATGGGCAATGCTAACGAAAGACGTCATTGAAATCATAACCAAATGGTTATTAGTGTTCTTAAAACCAACCATATAAATTGAATCATACTTGGACAGAATGTGTTTGGCATGTAATCTGATTGTAATTGGGCATGAGTCATGACTGTTTTTTCAACAATAAATAAATAAATAAAAATGAAGGCATGACAAGCAAAAACATGGCTATTATTTGCAAAGAAAAAGTTTATATTCAATATTCAGATTTTGGAACTGCCACTTTCTTCAACTTCTGATGAATTCAACCAAGATAATTTTTAAATTGGACTCTAAATTTTTTTTGTAGAACTTTAAACTGAACTCACATGTGGAATCCTGAGGAAGTTGTGCTGATGTAAATATTAACAGCTCGAGATTTTCCATGCTACTTTGCATTGCAAAATCTTGTCGATCCATCTGGTCTACAAGTTTTCTAAATGTCCCATCCAACCTACAATAGGAATAATGTCAAATGAATATGTGGAATTATCCTTGAAAAGTGGATACTCATAAATGTTAATATGTAATTTACCCATGTTAAATATAAAATATGTTAGAAGCAGCCTAACCTTTGCTCTTTAGATGGGATGAAGTAGACTCCGACATCGTTATAGTCAGGAGGGTCTAATCTGTAAAGTTTGGGCCAGACATCCCTCCTCTGGCAAAGCTTAACCCGTATATCCTTACCACTTAATTCTTTCACAGTTTCGTAAACTTTAAGAGCTACAGTTCCCGGAAAATGAGCCAGAATTCCTGCAACAATAGGATATTCGGTATCACGTGGATAATTTATCATGAATCGTCCCCTGCAAAAAGGAATGTGAAAAAATATGGTTGCCCATGTTAGAAATTGGCTTTATCTTAAATTATTAGGGAATTACAGAAAGCAGCATGTCTTTTATGTATTTACTTTGGTCTATTTAAATGCATAAGGATGATAATTTTGTAGACACCATTATGAATACTTGTTTGCCATTTGAAGCATTTAACATATTAAGAAATCTACAATTAATACAAACTTAATAACAGAAGAATGGAAAAGTTTAACGTGGACAGTGGTATTTAGTTGGACTGTGATTTATAATTGTCAGGAAAAAAAGCTGTGGTCATTTATATTGGTTGAACATTCTCTTTGCCCAGCTCCTCTTCATGCATGATGTCTAGTCTTGTTAATTGACCCCGATCTGATTGAGACTGAGTGCCTGACCAACTAGGTGTTCTCAGATGACTCTAGCTTGTAGCAGGACGGCTTGCCTCTCGACGGCCATTGATGAACATGTTGCTTTTGGACTCATGTAAACTTGGCTTTAGGTCCAGATTATTGAAGTGTTGACAATGGGTGTATGTATTTCACCCAGTCTTAAACTTGGGATCTCCAAATTAAAAGTTATTCAAGCATCTTTTTGATGCATATCTAATGTTGGTATGCATGTCTATCTTTTAGGTTTCAGCTTAGACTTGTAGACTAACTTTGTTTATGACTTGACGAAACTCAACCTCTTTTGGGCCTTACAAAAAAGAATAACAAAAAATTTCTAGCTCTAGACTGGGATTTTTATGTGTTTGTCATGTTGCTCTCCCTCATTGATATCAATATTGATTGGATGACTAAAGAACAAGCCTAGAATGAAATTTTATCAAGAAAGTTGTAAAAGGTTACAATGTGTCAATATGAGACCGCGCTTTGATCTACTTTTCTTTTTACAGTTAGTTATTGCTACCAGCTAATGTCCATTTCTACAACTAGAAGATTCAAACTATTGTTATCATCTAGTATGTCACCAGATAGTACGTGTGAAATCTTAGCTAATCACTTGCAATGAGTAGATATTTACTAATGACCATTCACAGAAGTGTAAGTTTTCTAGGTAGATTTTCTTCCAAAACATTTCACTTTTCATACTTCACAATTCAGCTTTGCCTTAGCAAATCAGTAAATTGTGCTGTAGACTTTTCGTGGCCTTTTTGCATTAGCAATTATGAAATAATTACACTAGAGGCCTTGCCACCATGAGATTGCATGGATAGATTTACTTACTTCCAACACGTGTCTGAAACTGGTCGGTACTGAACCATTTCATCTAAAAGCAGAAGAGATTTCCTTGCAAAATTGGAGTTCTGGGATGCCGTATTACCTGTCAAAAATATCGATAGATTACTATTGAAGGTAATTATGAATCAGAGTACATACTGCTGCAGCTGGTAATTATGTATTTTCAAGTTTGTCTTCATATATTACTTCTTTTACTGACAGCCACAAGCTAGGATTACTGTCTTTGGCGTTCTCTCCCTTTCATTCTTTTTTCCCCTTCTTTTTTGCTATTTTGTGATCGTATACTCTGCTTAAACATAATTATTGCCCTTTCAATGAAAATGTGGTCAACTGGGAAGCATAATTTGTAATGGTTATCGCCAAAGTTACTATCAAATTTCTTGCCAAAGAAAAGTGGACAAGTGGGTTCAGGAGAAGTAATCAATAGGTAAGAAAAACTCCTTTGTCTGCAGTTTATGTTCATGCAAACAATGATAGCCTCCCCACCTTTTGTTAGGCTGAAAAAGTGTAGAGAAGTGATAGATGAAACCTATAAAGAGTGTTTTTATGACAATGCAGCATTTTACTACCTGAAAAACTAACTGGAGAAAGATGCTTAGTCTGCTCAGTGTGCAGTAGGCTGGATCCGATAGGGGCAAATTTTCAAACCCAACCTGTTTGCTAAAAAATTCCCAAAAAAAGACTCGTTTCAAACTTAATTTCAAAAACCAACCTAGTTGGACAGAAACTGGGTCGGTTTTTGAAAAAAAATTCCCAAACTTCACGGGAGTTGAAGTCCCGTGAAGTTTTTTAATATAAAAAACTTCACGGGACTTCAACTCCCGTGAAGTGTGGGAACTTTTTTTTCAAAAACCGACCCAGTTTCAACCAACTGAATCTGTTTTTGAAATTAAGTTTGAAATGGGTCTGTTTTTGGGAATAAAATTCAAAATAGGTTGGTTATGAAAATTTGTCCGATCCAATAGTGTCTAAGTCTGTTGACGTGTTGTGGAGTTTGGTTCCAGAACAGCCTTCTGTAGGATTTTTCTTAACAAGTTCTTCGCAGCTTTTCCCTTCTGAGAGAGGGGGAAAATTGATCATATTGCTCAGAATACATCAAAAGATAGAACAAAATTCGAGACATTTAGTTCATATAAACTGATTGGACTCCTTTATCTGCAGTTTATGTTCATGCAAACAAGAATAGCCTC